GTAAATTGAAAGTAAAATCTCTATTGTACATTTGGGACTCTGCAACAGCAGAATCCCCGGGTTCTTACAGCGAAACGTGATCAAAATTGAGCAGAGATACCCAGGGACCCAAGTCACAGACTACTGCAGAGTTTTCCTGCCCAGCACTTCCACCTGGAGGCTATTATAGAGCAGCTGAATATTATTTCACAGGGTGGCTATGGGGTTCCAGTTCACAAAGCTGTTCCCAAAAGATGTCAATCACTTATTAAGCACATGGCACTGCAAACACTGTTGTCAGGCATATAACAATACCTCGAAGTAATGTTTACTGTTCTCATCATACAGATACAGAAGCCCCCCTCCCCAACAAAAAAAAAAAACAAAACAAAACATGCCCAGATCACTACTTAGTTATTTAGTGAGTTGGAACTTCTTGCTAAATGCTGAAGTGATACAAGATTGAATTCAGTTTGTTAAGAATTAGGTAGTGGGGGGATGTTCTTAGCATGAAGTCCGTCAAATGCCTCACTGTTTCATAGCTGTACCCCGAAAGGTTTGCAGGCTTCAGTTTCTTTATACTAAATAATGACTACTTTCAAATTTTCACCATTTAGAAAAAGACATTAAAAAAGTCTTGACAGTAGAGGCGGAATAGTGGAAAAGAAAGGGTTCAGAGGGTGGGAAATAAGAAGGGGTAGTGATGGGTGAATGTAACCACAACCCATTTAAAAAATACAACACAGTACATATGTATACATTTGTAAAAAGTAAATGCATTAAAATAATTATAAAGTGATTATGGCCTTCCTGGTGGATATAAAATAAGATGTCACTGTGATTTTAATTCAAGTTTTCCTAATGAGCAATGACCTTGAAAATGTTTGCATTTGCTTATTGGCCATTTCTATTTATTCTTTGGGGAAATGTCTGTTCAAGAGATTTGGCCATTTTAAAAATTGGCTTACTTGGTTTTTATTGCTGAATTGGTTAAACTTTAATGTCTAGACAAATGCTACTTCCAATATTTATGAACCTAAATGCATATCTCTTTTCTCATTCAATGATCCTTTGCTGTCATGATGATAACGCACATCAGATATGTGAGTGTGTTGGAACAAACTGAACTTGACCCCATTTAACTCTGCAATTATGTACATGAGGCTGCATCTCTGGTGGGATATTATGAGACCAGCCAGTGAGCCAGACTTTCTCATTCCTCCCCTTTATAATGGTCTCACTCTCCAGAACTACTTAGTAATTCTTACTTGCAAGTCAGTTTCTCGATCTCCTACTTGGAAACAGATTCAGCTCTGGAGGAGAAGGAAGTGGGACAAACATTGATGCTATTTCTGCCCCCAATAAGCTGATTCTTCAACCCAACTCATGACATTTTCAAATTGTATTGAAGATTTCTAAACTAGTTTCAGAGCCATGTTACTAGCGGCTGTGCTACTAGAAAAGAGACTCCATATTAGGTCTTTTGTGAGTAAAGTCTAATATAAAGACTGGATGTAATCTGTAAAACAGGTATTTATTGTTTCATCTACCAATATGACTCCTGAAAAAAATATAATTCCTAGTCTTTTAATTGTTTACTTATTTTCGAGAAAGGGTCACAAGAATCAAGGCTGCCTTCAGCTCCTTCTATGGCCATGGATGATCTTCAGTGATCCTCCTACCTTTACCTCCAAAGTGTTGGGATTACAGGCTTGTACCAACTACATGCAGCACAGGAAGAACCCTAGAGCTTCCTGAATGGGAGGTAATGCTTTATTAACTATGTCCTCAGTTGGACAAAGGTCAATCTGCTTTCTTATAGAACTCAGGACCACCCACCCAGGGACAGCACCATCCACCATGGGCTGGGCCCTTCCCCAATGCTCACTAAGACTGGTATTCTTATTTGACAATATTGCTTGCATTTGATAGCTGCATTTTGTCTGTGTATGGAGAGGAATTCGATGTTATAATTATTTGCAGGAATCATTGAGCCTAAGGTGTGATAGCATGAAAACCAGTATTTAGGGTTTCTATTGCTGAGAAGAGACACCACAACCATGGCAACTCTTATAAAGGAAAACATTTCACTGGGGTGATTTACAGTTTCAGAAGTTTAGTCGATTATCATCATGGTGGGACATGGTGGCATGCAGGCAGACATGATGCTGGAGAAGGAGCTGAGAGTTCTACATCTAGAATCACAGATAACAGAAAGTGAATTGTTTCTGTTAGGGTTTCTACTGCTATTCATCACTGAAGGAAGTCAGAACAGGACTCAGACAGGGTAGGATCCTGGAGACAGCAGCTTATGCAGAGGTCGTGGAGGGATGCTCCTTACTGGATAGCTCAATCTGCTTTCTTTCTTTCTTTTTTTTTTTTTTTTTTTTTTTTTGGTTTTACGAGACAGGGTTTCTCTGTATTGTTTTTGGAGGCTGTCGGTCCAGCCCGGCCTCGAACTCACAGAGATCCGCCTGCCTCTGCCTCCCGAGTGCTGAGATTAAAGGTGTGCGCCACCACCGCCTGGCTCAATCTGCTTTCTTATAGAACTCAGGACCACCCACCCAGGGACAGCACCATCCACCATGGGCTGGGCCCTTCCCCATTGCTCACTAATTGAGACAATGCCTTACAGCAGGATCTCATGGAGGCATTCCCTCAATTGAGGCTCCTTCCTCTCTGATGACTCTAGCTTGTGTCAAGCTTATACACAAAACCAGCCAGTACAAGTAGTATGTAACTGTGTGTGCCTTTTAAAAGAAGGAGGTATTCAGAGATATCCTCAGACCTATGTTCCAAGAGAAAGAGCTCTAGGTTTTAACATTGATTATATCTTCACACATGCACATGTTTCAATATCTGTTTTAGATTCTTAATTCATAAGTACCATTTAAGGCGATGATCTATTTTATCTTAATTTATTTTATGATTAATTGATTGCTAATACAGAAGCACTTTCAGGGTCCCATTTACCCCCATTTTTCCCTTTTGGTACTTATTTTGTCCTTCACATTTTTGACTTTTATTAATTCTTTGAAAATTTTGCACAATTTGTTTTGATCCCTGTACTTTTATAAAGGACAGAAAGGTCTATGACTTGAGGATGAGTTTCCAGGGGCCACAGACTTTGATCATTGCTAGACAGTTGGAAATGTCAAGTGGACAATTGGCCGTTCTCTCTTCAGAGGGAACTCGCTGTTCAGTCACACATTTAGTCTGGCATCGTGTTTGATTCTTCTTTTTCAAAATTCATTTTTGCTTGGGCTGGAGGTCAAGTATATGTGCCACAGACTGGTTAAGAGGTATGGTCAGCTGACAAGAACATTGAGAAGCTGTTATGAAAGCAAGAGGGCCTTTCGTGTTCCCAAACACCTCCCATCTCTGGCAAACAAGACAAGAAAAGTCCAGAATAATGTGTGAAGTCTGCTGTCTTTTTAGCAACGAGGCATAGATGCACATGCCCTTACTTATGAACTGGAAGCTACTGGAAGGGTTAATGAGAAACTATTAGATTGCCATGGAAGCACTGAAGAGATACGAGTCACATTTTTAATTTTTGGTTTATAATTGATACACATTAGTTACACAGAGTGAGTTTCGTTATGACAGTTTAATGCACATACACTTTACATCCTGGTCATGTTCACACCCATCACTCTCCTTTGTATCCCCTCCCCATCTCCAGACAACCTAGTGCGCTTCCTAACTTTCCACTCTCATGTCTTTTGCTTTTTTAATTGACCTAGTGAGTTCTATTAGGGCTGCTTACAGGGACATTGATGAAGGGGTCTTTACAGGAACAAGGGGACCTTAGTCTACACTGCTGGGTAAAGTGTCTCCCCCTCTTCCAGGGTTTGAGTCCTTCCCCTACCCCATGGCAGGATGCTGGCTGGGCCAGTCTTGTGCAGGCAACCACAGCTGTTGTGAGTTCAAGCACAAAGGCTTTTCAGTTTTTAATTAGAATTTTAAGAGAAGTCCAATTGACAAGAGACTAAAATAGGGACAAGAGGAGTAGCTGAACTAACTGTGTGTTTGGTCACCTGTCCAAAAACCCTGGATTCTACCTTAGAGACACTCTCTTTGAAGATTGCTTTCTGTCTCCAAAATCCATCTGGGGTCTCTATTATGCACCTATAAGGCTCTAGAAATCTCCCTCCAGATACATATCAGCATAGCTCTATATCCTGAGGGCCCCTGACCCCTCCGATTGACCACTTCAAGTGGGAGAACCTTGACAGATATGAACTATGCCTTCCTCTTCCAAAGAGGACCTATACGCACTTAACAGTTTTTGGAAGAGGGGGAGACACTTTACCCAGCAGTGTGGACAATATTCTAGCGTCCAATAATTGGAGTTTTGCAAATTCATGAATTTGGTATGTGATACCTGACCTTTTTTTTAACTTTGCATTCCTATATAGTTGCTGTTGCAGCTGTGTTCTTCTATTTCCATTGCTGGGTGGGAAATGACTAATTGTTTCATTATGCTGTCATCTGCTGCTTGAATTTTGTCTCCAGGTTGTGATGAGTCACACTACACTGACTGTTCTTCTACACCCTCTTGGGTGTACATGGGGCCTTGTTTCTGTTGAGTAGATGCCTCGGAGTGGTTTCTGGCCAGACCCTTTGTGATGTTCTCAAGTGAGGTACATCCTGCCCCCAGCTGAATACTCTGAAGGCCCAGGACACATCTTTACACAATTAAGTCTCTATCACCTACCATCCTACCGTAGAGCTTGGTGCGACATAGCCAGTCCTCAGTGTTGGTTATCTTTCTTCAAGTTTCCCATGCTAAGCTGGCCAAATCTCTGCCTCTAGGGAATGTCACAATGCCTGTCTATTTTTAGGCAAATAAGGGAAAGATTACCTGGTACATTCTGCCCACAGTCAACTCAGTAGAGCAGATAAATACACTCATTCCCAAGAAGAATTCTCCAAAACTATAAAGGTCCCTTTTTCCTCCTTCACCACCTGACTTCACTCAGTCATTAGAGCAGAGTGGACCGAGGGAGCCATAAAACATGAAGGTCGTGTTACTCTCTGCTGTTTTCTTCTGCTTGGTACAAGGAAACTCAGGTAAATGTCTCCTGGGTAGCCCTGGAGAAGGCAGGACTTCCATTTCTGCTGAGGACAGCGTTGAGGTACAGACAGAAGTCACAGATGGTCGACCACTCTGGGGCCCAGGGCTGGGCTATTTTCATAATGAAGAGATTTGGGAGTTTTAATTTTTGTTTTTTGTTTGTTTTGAGAATTGTAAGGGTTATGGCACAAGACACAGAAAGATCTAGTTGTGATCTGAGATAGTTTGTTAAGGACAGAAGGGCAAATCATACATGTGTCAGAGATGGAATGGAACGGGAGATCTTCTTAGGCAGCCCAGAGTCTGTGGAAAGGGAACCAGGCTGCAGGGAAAGTGTTAGATTGCCGCCCTACAGTGAACAGAGAAGTTACCCTCGTGTACAGCATTCCCCTAGCTTTTGCATATAACCTACTATATCCATGAGAAAACAGATGTATCCATTCAAATAAGTTTTCAAATGAGAGAAAATGTGCTACTTGAGTGAACTAGAGTACGGATCCCTTTGATTAGGGGCTCTTCCGTTGCTCAAGTGGACTACACACATCTCCGTGTCCCCTCCAAACTGGGGTAGACTTGATGGACACAGTATCATAGATCAGTCCCCATTTGAAGTTTGGCTACTGCAGGGGACTATTTTTCTAAACATGGAAGACCTATGTTGTGTTACTGTTGCTTCTAAACTCATGATGTATATAGCATTGTTGGAAAGGTCTCATTTTTAATCATCTCTTTCCCACAGTGCTTTCTATATGGGGACTCTAGACTTATTTTTTTTACTTAGAAGGCCACACACAGGTCATACTGTTATTTTTGCTTCTTTATAATGTAGTAATATGAGTGTGAGTCCAGCCACAAGCTGAAAGGCAGAGCCATTTCCAATTTTCCTGCAGCCTGAGGCCTACCTCCTGTTACTCTGTCAAATGCCACCCCTGTCTCCAGGCTGCTGAGGAACCCCGCTGTGACAGAAGTTTCTCAGGGCCTACAAAGGGCCAAATGATTTCACACACAGCCTGTCATAACATCCTCGGAACACCATGAGATAGAAGCTATTGCTCTTCCAAGCTAGGAGTCAGAACTCACTGAAGTTGGGACTTAGCCTTGTAAGAGCATAGTGAACGCTCAGCACTCGGCTGTACTGGACTGTGGACTGGAGTTGCTATCTAACGCTCTGTCTATTGGGCCTACAGGGGACATACCACCCGGGATCAGAAACACAGTCTGCCTTATGCAGTATGGCCGCTGCAGACTTTTTATGTGCCGCTCTGGTGAGAGAAAGGGGGACATCTGCTCCGACCCCTGGAACAGATGCTGCATACCCAGTTCCCTTGAAAATGGAAAACCCACGACTTAAGGTGGCAGGGTTAGGTGCAAGCTTCTGGAAGGTGGAGACCCGGGAACACCACAGCCTTTGAAGAGGGGCGTCTGATGGTTGGTGCTCAATAAACACTTGCTGAATGAATCAAGCCCCAAGGCGAAGGTTTAAGGAAAGGATTTTATTGAAAACGTGTTAATTCAAAGGGACAGGAATGGCTGATTCTACAGGCCTTATGTCCTCTGTGGCACCCCTAATATCAAGCCCAGCGCTAGCTTCCCGCTCAAGCCACTCATGTTCCTGCTGCTGTTCTAGAACCTCCTCACGTGATAATTTTGTTGCCTATCAACATCTACTCTTTGCTTGTCTCAACCGAATAACAAGGTGACCTTGCCATGTTTACAGAGAATGAAGTAAGGTTTAAGCATGGCTGTTCCTGAGATTTAAGAAAAAAAATCAAAACAAAACAAAACAAAAAAAAACCCAAAACCTTAAGGCCAAACAAATTTCTCCAAATCAGAATTTCATAAACAGAATTCTTGATGTGCCTGTAAGAGTGTTCATTCAGTTACTTTTATCTTTAAATGTTTGCATCATTGTGTGTAGGGTGTATGTGTGTTTGTGTGTGTTGGTATGTGTGTGTATTACAGCGTGTTTGTGTATGTGTACAGTATGCTTGTTTGTGTGTATGATGTGTATGGTATGTTTGCGTGTGTACAGCGTGTTTCTGTATGGTATGAGTGTATGTATAGTGTGTGTGGGAGGCTTGTGTATGAGTGTGTGCATATGCATGTATGCTATTTTTATGTGTGTGTACAGTGTATTTGTGTGTGTGTGTGTGTGTGTCCAACTTCTCATGCCGTGTGTTCCACATGTAGCAGTAAGAGGATAGCTTTTGGGAATGAGTTCTCTTCTTCCTCCATGGGTTCTGGGGGTGGAACTTCGGCAGACAGACATTCTTTATGCTTCTTTACTGAATCTTTGTGGGTTTCACCTCATGCACCCCAATTCTTTTCACCTCTCAGTCTCCCCATATCCCCCCTCATCCCTGCTGTGCCTCCCCATGAAAGAAAACAAAACATGATAAGCAAACAAGCAAGCAAACAAAAGCAAACAAAACCTCCCAATAAACCAAACCAGAACAAAAACCACACCAGGAACAGAAAAATCTCTGCGTTCTGCCATTTTGAAGACCATATTTCTGAACACCTGAAGCTTTGCAGGGTCCAGTGCATGAAGTTCCCTAACACTGAGCTGTTTGCTGTTCTCTGCATGCCGTTCAGCTATGGGGCAGCAGCTGCCTAAGAGTAGTGGATTAATTACCCGTGAGCAATGTAGAGGCTCTTTAAGGGAAATGACATCTGTATTAGAGACCACTCATCAAGCTGTCTTCAGATTAACAGACAAAATCCCTTGTCTCCATGTTTCTGTTTACTGCTTGACTCTGGTTTGCTTATATGAACCAGCTGGACCTACTTCAGGGTTCCTAGCTCCATTACCATCCCAAGTTACAACCAACATTGGGTATCCTGGCTTTGGCCTTTCTCCAGCCTTTTCCCGATCTACACATTCATTTTTTTCTAAATATAATCCCGGGACTGCATGCTTGCCTGTGTGAATGTCTGTCTGGGAAGGTGCTGGCCCCAGGTTCAGCCTCTGTCTGAGGTAGTGAAACTCCAGCCCACAAGCTGGAGAGTCACCTCTCCAAGAGCAACAGATGTGTCTCAACAGTAAATGGCCCGAGTGGCAACCAGTGCTGAGACTAGAGCCTGGTTCCACCTTCCCCCAGGCATGACTCAGCAGGCTGGTAGCACATGCTCCTGGCCTTAGCTTCTCACCCTCAGATGACTAACCTGACTAGTCAGGCCAGTGCATGACACCACCAGCTTCTCAGGGCAGAGCCACAGACTCTACACAAGCAAAGTGACGTGACGAGAGAACACAGCCCTTCCCCTTTCCTCCTCACTGTCAGATGACAAGCAAGAAAAGTTGAGGACCAGCCGGGACAGGTCTCGTGAATCCCTAGTATGTACTCACAATGTAGGACATATTGCCCACTGGATGCTTTTAAGTGAGCTTGGTTGTTGTTTGCTTTTCTTTGGAGAACACCTTCCATGTAGTTTAGGCTGGCCTTGAACTGCTGCTCCTCCTGTGTCCACCGATGGAGTTCTGGAGTTCCAAGTGTGCACCATCACATGGGGGTTATACAGTTGTGGGCATTGTACCTAGCCACCCCCCCCCCACACACGCTGGGCAAGCATTCTACTAACTAGACCCCATTCTAGGACCCTGTGTAAAAATGTGGAGCTCGTAACTAGACCGACGTTGTAGGAAAGTCCTCAGGCTACGATACAAAACTTCTTTGAAAGAATGTTTGTGCACCTCCCACACGGAAGAAAAAAGGCACCTGCTGGAAACTGAGGCTTAGACAGACAACTCTGAAGTGACAGTCGGTAGAAAAGAATGGGATGGCAAGAGGCTTCCTCGGGAAGTCTTTAGTGGCAGCTTAGAGCCATTCTGATAGTTGTTTTACCTTGCCAAAGGTGCTCCCGGAGTCTGAAGGGATCGGTTTAGTGCTTCTAATGAGCGCCAAGAACAGCATTCCTTCCTCATCTCCATACCATACCTTTTCTCATATTACTAAGTGAATGTATCTTTGGTCCTAAACAGTTCTAGGGTAGTATTATTTTTTTAATTTAAATTTAAATTAGAAACAAGGTTGCTTCACATGTCAATTTCAGGTCCCTCTCCGTTTCCCTCCCCTCCTCCCGTGCCTTCCCCCCAACGTCCCCAATATCCCCTCATTTCCCCAGGGAGGGTGAGGTCCTCCATGGGGGTGTCCATAGTCTGTCATTTCATCCAGGGCAGGGCCTAGACCCTTCCCCAAGAGTCCAGGGTGAGAGTGCATCTCTCATTGTTGGATGGGAGCCCAAAGTCCATTTGTATACCCGGGATAAATACTGATCTACTACCCAAGGCTCAATAGATTACCTAGGCCTCCTCATTGACAACCACATTCAGGGGGTCTTGATCAGTTCCATGCTGGATTCCCAGGCATCAGTCTGGGATTCAAGAGTTAACCCTTGTCAGGTCAGCTGTTTCTGGGGGTTAAACCAGCCCAGTCTTAACCCCTTTGCTCATCAGCCCTCCCTCTCTGTCACTGGCTTTCTTGAGTTCAGCTCAGTGCTTAGTCGTGGGAGTCTGCCTCTGCTTCTATCAGTCACTGAATGAAGGCCTGATGATGGCGACAGAAAGCCTGGACCTGGTGGGCCAGGCGTCGATACCAATCCTGACCACAAGAGGGCGAGCCGCTACTGCTAATGCCTGAAGGTTGTTTTTGTTTTAATTTTTATCTATTTTCCCCATTGAAGTTGGCCCCATGGTTAAGGAAAATCCCTCAGGATCGCCGCAGGATTCGGAAGTAGTTGCTCTTCTATCCTGAATTCCTTGGTACTAACTGAAGTGTCTTCATCGCTGCCCTGCCCAGGGTAGCCGTTTACTCTGGGGAGCGGAAAAGAATTCAGTTCAGATAAATTCAGTTCAGACTGATCCATCAGGATATTTACTACAGCATCCCCGCGAATCTCCGGTTTGAGAGTAGAGTCCAGCCAACGCTGCAGATAACAAATGAAAAGCCTATCTACTTCCTGTGGCTGATCGTCAATGGCTGTGACCCCAGGGAACTCCTTCAGTTAATGCTCCACAGCCAGGAAGCAGCTCAAGGAGCACAAGGGCTCATGCAGGGGTTGTGGGCTCTCACCAGCCCTGTCCAGCAGCAGAGCTGCGCTGCTCCGGTGCCTCCTTGGAAGGACGATAGCAGAGCCTGGGAACTTCACAGTTGTGCATGCAAGTAGGGGTCAGTTATGGCTGTCACTGTAGCTGCTGCCCTCAAGCGGCAACACGTTTTCAACTGGGAGATTTACCTACTATATGCCTGTGCTGTGACCCTTGCAGCAGCCATCAGGGCAGGCGAGTTGTCCTTGCTTAGGGGTCTGCTTGGTGCAACCAGCGATGTCGCGGAGCTTTCCTGGGAGGATTCAGTTAACCTCTGTTATCTCTAGGGCTCTGGCTTCCCCTCCTGAGATGACACAGTCAGTTGCAAGGACGCCCTTTCCCTCTTACTGTTCCCAGGCTTCCTCAAGCGTAGCCTCCGCAGTTACCCCTCCCTGTCCCTCTTCCCACATCACTGCTTTGCAGTGTCAGTCATTTGCCCTTCGGGGCATCCCTGGCATAGGATTCAGCCTTCTGGCCCCATAATCTGCTTCTCAAGTTACTCAACCTGTGGGTCGCGACCCCTGTGGGGGTCGTATATCAGATATTTACGTTGCAATTCATAACAGTAAAATAATACTTAGAAAGGTGCAATGAGATAATTTTATGATTGGGGGTCACCACACCATGAGGAACTGTATTAAAGGGTCACAGCATTCGGGAAGTAAGAACTACTATCATAGAGGACCTGGTAGTTATAAGCACTAACATTTGTACTTTTATTGACCATACAAGAAAAATAAATGTGAATTCATGAATTAACTAATCCACACCCCAACATGGGTTTCCTCCAGTGCTCTGTTCTTTCTCTCCAAGGGGCTGGTGTGTGTGTGTAGCAGCATCCTTGACACCCTGAAGCCCAAACCATGTCTTCCGCCTTAGCCGCTCCAAGTGTTGTTTCATCTTTTCCAACTCCGGGCAGAGAGTGGAGGGGGTTCTCTTCTCTCCTCTCAATTGGACTCAGTATCCAACTCGGTTCCAGGGGAGCCTGGGATTCATTGAGAATATCTTTGCCTGCTCATGCCCACTGGAGGTGTGTGGCAGAGTGGGGAAAAGGGCATGGTAAGGACATACAGGGCACACTTGAATCCTGAGCCTCTTGGTGGCATGCCCGCCTCTGACAGTGTCACACTTTACTATCCTCTGTCCCTCTGCCAGTTTCAGGCAAGAAAGGGACCTAGGAGGTCATTGAGTAAGCCTGTCCTCTCTGATGGCCGGCAGAGTTCGGAGCTAAGTCAAACTCAGGGGTCCCACCTTGAACCTGTGGTTGACTGCACAGATGTTTGGGGCCCTCTATCTGCTGTAATTTGGGTGTGAGTTTTGCAGTTATTAATTATGAACGATAGTGTATGTCTGCAACTTGGTGAATGGTGGTTTTGTTGTATTTTGTTTCA